GCGGGTAACCGTACCAGAAGGATCGATGGTTAGGCTTGAGCCAGATTCTGACACTAGTGGAAAACTGAGCATCCTAGGGCCACTAACGAGGCTATGGCTCGGCTTTGTTGGATTAGTGAACGCAACGAGATCGACGATGTTGAGATTAGGAAAGATGGTGTGGAAATTGGGAGCTGACGACCCGAGAAAAGTTTTTCACGGTTTGAAAGTAGGGATTGCGTTAGCACTTGTGTCGGTATTTTACTATGCACGGCCTCTGTATGATGGTGTTGGAGGTGCAGCTATGTGGGCGGTTATGACCGTTGTGGTCGTTTTTGAGTTCACAGTTGGTAAGCTCATTTATTTTTTAAATGAACTCAAGAAAGAGTGACACAAAAATCATATTCATTAAGAAGTAATGTAAAAATTTAAGGTGTTAAGAATCTATATATAGTTTTCTTGAATCATTTTGTTTTATAACCAATCACTCTAAGTAGCCTAAATAGCATACTTGAGTCTCTTAGCATCGTAGTAGTATTAGATTTGTAGCACTGTTACCATTAATCTTAATATATATTTAAAAAAAATCATTTTCATGGTCAGGAGGAAGCTTGTACAAAGGAGTCAACAGAGCCATAGCAACATTTACTGCGGGGGCGCTTGCCATTGGTGTCCACTGGATTGCAAGCAAATCCGGAGAAACCATGGAGCCTATCGTTCGCAGTACCTCGGTTTTCATGCTAGGTTTGTATGCATTGCTAACTAGATTTGTATTATCATTTTGGCGGATACACCCCTGGCGAAATTTCTGGACTCTTTTGCCCTCAGATAGACTGACTGATTTCACCTAGGGGTGAACTCTACCGAAACTTTGCCCGGGTTAAAAGAGTCTAAAGAATTCACCCCGGGGGTTTCTATCTGCCAAAATGAAACTACATGAAGAGTACGTTCAGAACAACTAGACTACAGGGGGTCTGTCTACAATTAATTAACCATAATAAATTTGACTTTGTATTAATTCTACATTAATATTAACAGTAAAAAATTCAAAAACCTCTTGAAATTAACGACCATGACCAAGATTTTGTGCAGCTTCAGCAGCGACATTTTCCAGGTTCATCCCGACCATCAAAATATGGTTCGACTACGGAATCACCATATTCATCCTCACCTTCAGTCTTGTAGCGGTATCGGGTTACCGGGTCGATGAGCTCTTAGAACTGGCCGAGGAAAGACTATCCACTATTGCGATCGGGGTCTCCATTTGCTTCCTTGTGTCGATTTTCGTGTTCCCGGTTTGGGCAGGAAACGATCTTCATGCTCTGATTACCCGCAACATGGACAAGCTTGCCGACTCTTTGGAGGGTAAGCTTTGTAATTTACTATTTTGACATGCTCTTATGCGTGTTCATGAACTAAATCCAATGGAATATGTACTATGTTGACATTATTTACATATGCATATTCATAATATACTATGTTGACATTATATGCATGTTCATTAGATGATAATATATTGTGTTTTAGCACGCTTACTCTCAATACCGTCAATAGTGTCTCTTGTCGGTTTCGTCCACTTAAAATAATTATTTCCTTGTATTTTTTTTAGCATACATACATACTTCCTTATGATGTCAATTGGCTAAAAAGTTGGATGTCACGATGTACAAGCTACATATATATTTTCACAAAGTTTTGCACAATTAATATCTTACAGTAGACGATAGGTTGGCTAAGTATGACGCTTCTTCCATCATGTACAAAAATTAATGTAAGTATATTTGTCGTCCACTCTTAAAACTAATTAATAATTTGACTCGCAAGTTGTACGTACCTTTATTTGTCACATGAACTATAATAACGAGTCATTGGTAAACTTATATATGAGAATCTTTAGTTGAGAGCTTACCATTGAAAAGGATAAATTTTAAGATTAGTGTGCTGTACGTACATGCAATCTTACCTTTTTAAATTATGCAGGCTGCGTGGATGCCTACTTCATGAATGATGAAACCAACGGAAAGAAGGAATCTTCATCTAAGAAATCACAAGCCTACAAATGTGTTCTCAACTCAAAGGCATCTGAAGATTCTCTGGTACTTATATAACTCTTCATAAATATATATTACCTATCGAGTTAATTAATAAAGGTATTTCTTAACTTTTGTTTGTAATTAGAATTTAATATAGATTCTTATAATGTTTGATCCACAGGCGAATTTATCAAAATGGGAGCCTGCTCATGGCCGCTTCAGCTTCCGGCATCCGTGGAGCAAATATCAAAGGATAGGTGCCGCAATGCGCTATTGTGCTTATTGCATTGAATCTCTTAACGGATGCATCAACTCAGAAATTCAGGTAAATTCTACATATTGTATCTTCCTATATCGTAACACTATTAACGAAAATTATAATGAAATGATAGATTGTAAATTTTTACCACACAAAGTTATAACTTTCAGTAATCATCACAAGTTCGGAGTTCTGGCGCAGTGAAAAATGCTTAATTAGCATTGCATCAAATTAATCAACTCAGATTCAAATCCCACGAGTAATGAATTTAAAGTGAATTTATAAAATATGTTGAGTACTCCAACTTCCAAAAGATCCAAAAGGCTTTCAACATGTGGGGCCTTTTAGACACTCAACTCAAATCACAACTTCAGGGTTTATACTAAACCACATAATAATCTTGTATAAAATAGGATTTAGTGCTTGAAATAACTTGGGCATGTAAGACTTGGAGACTCTAATTGTAAAAAAGATACTGAGTGTACTTCTTCAATACTTTGTTATTTAAGAAATGATTATGCTTGATCTAGAATAAAAACTAGGCCCATGTTAGAATATGAAAAATATAACCCTCAACTCTCATCATAACTTCAGATTTTTTGTGTAATGAGAGACTTTAAGATGGTATCAGAGAAACTCAGGCTCATAAAAAAAGGTGCTCAACTTGCAAGGGTATGTTAGAACAGAAAAATACAAACCCTCAACTCTAACCACAACCTTGGAGTGTTTAATGGTTAGAGGGACTTTAAGAGCCCATATTTTCCATTAAAAATGTTCATCCTATATTTGAGATAACACAAAAAAAAACTTTTAAAAATGTCACATAACACCGAAAAAGTTTGTTAGATAACCCAGCAACATGACATGGGATATGGTGAATTTGTGCATGGATGAGTCATATTCATCACAAGATATAGAAAGTGACCTCCCTTCTATCAAGCAAGAAGTAAAAATTATCTAAGTTCATGCACATGCATATCAATTCAAGAAATATCTGTCTTTTTTCCCCTTTTCATATATTAAAGATGCTACATCGTAATGAGTTTCAAAAGTAAATTCATTTTATCAGGCTCCAGACTACATGAAGAACCATCTAGCCTTCATATGCATCAAACTAGCGTCAAACTGCTCCAAAATCCTCAAAGAATCATCGAACTCCATCAAATCCATGCAGCAGTCAGCCACCATCGACTTCTTCATCTCAGAGCTCCACACTTCAGTTGAAGAACTTCACACTCTCTTATCTCAACTTCACACTGACAACAGTCCATTAATAGAATCCCTCCCTCTCATCACCGTCGCCTCTCTACTGATCGAGATAGCAAAAAGAGTTGAAGACATTGTTGATGAAGTTGATGAGTTGGCGAACGCAGCCAATTTTAAGGATGTTGATGATGAGAAGCCAGATAAGAAGAATGGTGTGGGTAATGGAGAATAAAGTCGTTCAAAGAAGTGAAAGAGATAGAGTGTATCGATTCTCGATCTGTACTCTTTGGATGAAGGAAGTTTGTTGAAGTCATGTTTGTACCGTGTGCGCATTCTTAAGTAAGATAAAGTATGTCAAAAAGATTTAACTTTGTATGTGAAGAGAGAGAGAGTTCAGCGACTCACAAAACATCAAGTGTGTCACACACTAGTGAAGTTAAAGCGTACGCTTGAATTAGCTACATGAAGTGATATAGTCTCTTATCTTTACTTTTATTTTTGTGTGGTGAATGCATGAAGTGACATTGTCTATATCAGTTGGATCAAGTTATATCACTTTAATATATACAACTTCTGTGTGTTTCATCTGAGTCCTAATTCGTACCAATAAATTGTCTCAAAGTAATGTAAGAGTCTAAAATTTCACAATACCAATGAACTGACAAAAATCTAAATAGAGGTCAATCAGGCTAATACTTTATATTCTGTCACTTTGGTACTTTTCATTCTAATGTTGCTTGTCAAGTTCTTCATATTTGTTAGTGCTTGAGATGCAAGCTCCAAGAATTAAGATTTATCCAATCAAAGGATATGTGTTTATCACAAGGTGGTTTTCTATGGAAAAGGGTAATCCATGGCGAACAGAGCTGAACATATGAAAATGGAAAAAGCTATGCATGCTCAGATTCTTCCAATGCATGCAGTTGGGATTTGGTAAAGGCTATCAACGCCTTTCATCCTTATAACTAAATTAAGAGTGGCACTAGGGGCACACCATCAACCACAACTCTAACCACACACTCTATCTCATTGCTATAGTGCACCGGGTCTCACATGAGATTTTAAAATTTTAAAATCTCATGTGGGGCCTGGTGCACTGTAGCAAATGAGAGAGAGGGTGTTGTTGGAGTTGTGGTTGGGGATGTGCCTCTATCATTTTCCCTAAATTAATCTGGCACATGAAAAGATATGCTTGATGAAGGAGATTCAGAAGAGTTTTATAGTAAGAAACTGTTGTGCGCGGCGCTGAAGCGGTCGAATCACACAATCCAAACAAGAGATATCACAACCAAATAAACAAGCACAATCACCAAATAACACAAGAGATTTACGTGGTTCGGCAAGTTGCCTACGTCCACGGGGCAAGAAGAGGATGGAGTTTTCACTAATAGAGAAAGAATACAAACTGAGATTACAAATCACTCGAAGGAACAAACTAATCTCACCAACAAGCTCTTAATCTCTCCAAACAAAACCCTAAACAAATAGCTCAGAAAATACATTTTTTCTGTGCTCCAAATATCCCCAATTTGCTTCTCTATTCTCTCTTCCAATTGTTCCATATATATAGAAATTCTAAAATCATAAACATACTAGGAATTCTAAACCCCAATTGTTCCATATATATAGAAATTCTAAAATCATAAACATACTAGGAATTCTAAACCAAAAGCCAAAACAAATTAGGAATCCTAATAACCTCATGTTACCAAAATAGATTAGGAATCATAATAACCTCATGTTACCAAAATAGATTAGGAATCCTAAGAACCTCATGTTACCAAAATAGATTAGGAATTCCCTATCCAACAATTCTCCACATCGGCGAAGTTTTCCCAAAACTGAGCCGACACCAATACCAACCAAACGTCTCACTTGTTGCGTCCAGTACGAAGTGGACAAATCCACGACAACGGACTCAATCCACAACAAGTCGAGAACCCAAACGAGAATGCGAACAAACTCCAAATATCGGTATCAACTCACTAAACCGGCTGCATCATAAATGACTGCCTACGTATCCTCTTGCCCAAGGAATCAAGCCTTCACGTAGTTCACCCAAACGGCCTCCAAAGACCTCAATCCACTAGAAGAGTTCGCAACTCTTCTCCAACATCACGATCAAGTCTACAGCTGATAGCACCTCCAATGGTCCCAAACTGAAATAATCCAAACATCTCCACCTGAGATGAACCAATGGCCATATCCAGACTACATCTATCAGTTGTACTCGAATCAATCAACCTATCATCTGCATCCAAATAAACACGATTCCTAATCTGTGTCACATCAGTCGGAATCCCAAATGATGCAGTATGATCTGGAGTTTCCACCCAGCGTGGAGTAGCATCACTCTCCATCTGCTACGATGTCCCAAAAATCTGATCACCACTCTCCACCTACCGAGAGTCAAACGTGACATACCTGCCAGAACAAAGTCAGAAGCCAATACCTGATAATCAAACACGCATCTGAATCCCAAATGTGCTATCGGATAGAAGCCAATACCTGATAATCAAACACGCATCTGAATCCCAAATGTGCTATCGGATCAAATCTCACATCAACGATGTGACTAAGTACTGGGTAGCCAAACATCCGACGCAACCCAAAATCTGAAGCAGCTCCACCAGATCACATATCTCTACATGCAGCAGTCGGCAACCTATACATAAGACGGCCCAAACATGTCGTAGCCCGCATACCAATGCCAATGCTTGACATCAAATGTCTATCCTCCTCTAGAAAGGAACAGCTCCCCAAATCTGCCATCTCATCACGTCGTCTCAAAGTTTCCACACCAATGAAGTGTCTCCTATTACAGTGATCTTGGCACAATCGCAAGAAAGAACCCCTACCATAATCAGAATGTCGGGTTACCTTTCTACTAACACACTTCCTCCATCTGTTGCGGGCTTCTAGGACTTCACACCAACGGGACTTGGTTGCAACCCACCAATGCCTAGAGCAATCCCCAACTACGAAAACCACATACCTATTGCCTCCCAATAATGCTCTCTTGGAAGGTCCCCGAATGCCTGAATGAACACCCCTTAGAAGACCCCTCGAATGATGGATAGAAGTGCCAAACTCCACCTCGGTCTTCTTGCTCATACCAATGGGTTCACAGGACTTCAAACTGCAGGTCAAAGTACTCATCAACAACCTATACACGGTATTACCAATCAAATAACCCAGCATCAAACAATGCCACAGTCTAGCCGAATCTGATGTAGTCGTCAGCTCCCTATCAATCGTCGTGCATCCGAGCAAATAATACAAATTACTCCTTCTGACGCCATTCATCACAATCATGGACCCCAATGTGACTTTCAAGCGTGCGTCCACCAAGGTCACCCTATAACCTGCTGCCTCCAAAGCTCCAAGTGAAATGATATTCATCTTCAATTGCGGAACAAACCTCACATCATCCAACTCTCGCATCATCCCATCACTCATCCTAATCCGAATAGTACCAATACCACCAATAGAGCATGCATGTCCATTACCCATGAGCATAACATCCTCTCTTTCTAACTTTTAAAAGCTGGAGAACCAATCCCTCCTAGGGCAAACGTGGTAAGAAGCACCTGAATCCAACATCCACTCCGTAGAGTCGACATCACAAACTAATGGTAGTACGGATAACGAATAGCCTGAAGAATCCGAATCTGAATTGTTGCCACCAGTCTTGACAACATTCACCTCTGAAGCTTGTACAACTTTTCCCTTATTCTTCTCAGCTCGATCTAACTTTGGGCATTCAGCTTTTCAATGTCCATCCTCTTTATAAAAATCACACTGATTCCTACGAATCTCACGATGTGCACCTCTAAACTGTGACCTCCTACTTCGGTTTGAACCACGGCTTTGAACTACTAATGCATCTCCCGATGCCTTCTCGGATGACTCATCAACACTCTTCCTCAACTCATAATTCACCAACGTTGAGGTCACCTCCTTATAGCTAACAGTAGTTCTTCCATTAATCATAGTGAGAACAAATGTATCATAATCATCCTCGGGCAACGAACACAAAAGTAGCATCGTTTTGTCTTCATCCTCAACCATAATATCCACATTGGCCATGTCTGAAAGTAACTTCGTGAAGTTGTTAACATGCTCCCTGATGGAAACTCACCTCTTCATCTTGAACTGGTAAAACCTCTTCTTCAAATAAAGTCGATTCTCAATGCTCTTAGTAAGATACTTTTCATTGAGTGTTTTTCACATCTTCTTCGTCGACGTCTCGTTCATCACATCATAAATAAGATCCGGCGTCAAGCATGACCGAATAACTCCACACGCCCTACTATTCATCCTCTTCTAAACCTTTTCTTCCATATCAGCAGGTTTCTCTTGCAACTCAAGAGTCTCTTTCAAGTTTTGAGCGTCCAACGCATCCATCACTTGGCACCTCCACAAACCGAAATTGATCTTGCTATCAAACTTCGGAACATCGATCTTCATATTATTGATGCTCAAACTATGTATCGTCTTCGTAAGAGACGGTCCTGATGTGCTTGCTTCACCCATGTTGTCGATCTAACTCTTCAAATGGGAATCCTTTCAGAGAATCCTTCAAACAAGCCTCAAGCCGAACCCGAAGCTCTGATACCAATTGTTGTGTCCTTTCAGAGAATCCTTCAAACAAGCCTCAAGCCGAACCCGAAGCTCTGATACCAATTGTTGTGCGCGGAGCGGAAGCGGTCGAATCACACAATCCAAACAAGAGAGATCACAACCAAATAAACAAGTACAATCACCAAATAACACAAGAGATTTACGTGGTTCGGCAAGTTGCCTACGTCCACGGGGCAAGAAGGGGATGGGGTTTTCACTAATAGAGAAAGAGTACAAACTGAGATTACAAATCACTCGAAGGAATAAACTAATCTCACCAACAAGCTCTTAATCTCTCCAAACAAAACCCTAAACAAATAGCTCAGAAAATACATCTTTTCTGTGCTCCAAATATCCCCAATTTGCTTCTCTATTCTCTCTTCAAATTGTTCCATATATATAGAAATCCTAAAATCATAAACATACTAGGAATTCTAAACCAAAAGCCAAAACAAATTAGGAATCATAATAACCTATTACCAAAATAGATTAGGAATTCTAATAACCTCATGTTACCAAAATAGATTAGGAATCCTAATAACCTCATGTTACCAAAATAGATTGGGAATCCGCTATTCAACAGAAACTAGTTTAATATATTTTCTTATCCAACAACTGAATCAATTATTTGAATAACGAAAAAAAATTAATTTCGTTATTTTTTCCATAAACCTTATACAAGTATATGCGATATACAAGAAAACTATTACTCATCATCCAATGGTTAGCTACATCAGATCTATTGTTGACAGTGATGATCTGTTATGATCAATTATCAAATCTTATACAATGACTGGGTGTGAATCTAATGAATAAATTTTGTTTGAAAATACTTAACTGGAGAGGTTTTATTTGCTGCATATATTCAAATAATTGTTTAAACTGGGAATATTAAAAGCTAACAGATGTTAAGTATGCGCTAATATAAGTAAAATTTATATGAAATTGAAAAAAAAATTATTGTCTTCTCTTAAGTTACAAACTCTTAAAACGTAAACTATTATAACAAACATGATTTTATCCTAAGGGAAGATATTATTACTTTGCTAGGTAGGTTTACTATATTGTGTTTGTTATTAACTGATTGGCTTCATCTATTTATACTCGCAATGCTATAAGATAAATTGCTCATTACACTATCCAAATTTCTGCTCATGTTTTAAACTACTTATATTGTCATCATACATTTTAGTCTTTAGATTAAAATTTCACACTTCTTTATAATTTGAACTGGATTAAGGAGAATTAAGCATTTTAAGATTATTGTTTGCCCTATGATTTTGGCGACAATTATAGTGTGTGAGTATCATTTTTAATTAATTATAGTGTGTGAGTATCATTTTTAATTAATTTCAACAATATGTCTAAACTTGTAGATGTTTTTTTTTTTCTATAGCAGTCAATGGCGATAGCATTTGTGATTCTAAAATCAGAATGATACAAGAGATGACATCACTTCAACAGAAGTTTATATATTGATGCTGAATCAAAAGGCATGATAAATAAATTATACTTTCTTATATTTCTTCTTCGCCTTTGTTTTCATGCTCGTGGTCTCCCTTTTTCTATCATTTTCAATCAAGTGACAGACTTTTGTGAATATTATTAACTTCTCGGGCACATTATGAGTATGACAATATGAAAAAACATGCAACATAAAATAAATATATTTGGTTCTATATAAGAAAGAATAATTGATTTAAATATGACTTAGGGGCAATATCAAATGGCTTAAGCTATTCGGTTAAGTTGTTTGGTTGCTACATGGGGGGGTAAAGGGACAATTTAAGAATTTTTGTTGTTCATTTTTTTTGTTATTCAATATATATGTAGTATTATTCCTACTTTATAACATACCAATCGTCTCTGGTGTAAGAAAATATAATAAGTTGGTACTTAAGGTTAACAAAATATACCAATTTAGTAAGCTGATATTCAAGTGTAGCAAATTAGGTATGAATGTATACAAGTACAAACTATGGTTAATTAAGGTATGTAAGTGTGATTTAGGTTTAAAAATAAAGATATATTGCACTAATCTCTAAGAACTTTTAGCGTATTGCAAGTAAGCCTCCAATAACTTTTAAATTCACACCAGCTCAAAAAAAAAAACTTTCAAATTCACACTAAACTCCTGCAGACTTTTCCAGAAAAGGCATAAAAAATTAACATTGTTGCATCTGACATAGCATATGTAACTATCTGACTTGAAACGAACCAAATCTTAAAGTATTAAAAACCCCTTTATGATCTTTTCTACATTTTCAATCCTAAAAAATAGAAATCGGTCATCTTTTATCATTCATTCTCCTCTGCTTATGCCCAGGTTCAGCTCTTGAATCTTTTTTTTTTGGCTAAAATTTTTTCTTCAAAATGCCTCTTTATATTGTTTGTTGTTCGAAATTATGCGGGTTATCTGCAAATTGCTGAAGCTTATTTGGAATCTTTTGCAATTCCAGAAGTTATTGGGGGTTTAGTGTGACTTTGAAAGTTTTTGGGTACCTCACTGCAAAACGTCGAAAGTCCCTAGGGGTTTAGTGTTAATATTTACCACCTCCGAATCCGGTAGCTTCTCTTAATTTCCCTCGAGTGCTCTCCTCTTCGATCTCAAATTCTTCCTATTGTAAACCCTACAAATCAAACCAAATCGAAACCCCAATTACGTAGTAGAAGAACAATTTCGAGTAATCAATGGAGAAGGAGGTGATCCTCTCCGAATCCTCCCCTTCGACCTCCTTCTCATCCGAGCCCAGATTAATCTGCCGAGTGTAAAAATCTAAACTTTTTTCTTCCCCAATTGTAAATTCTAGGGTTCGTTCCAAAGTTTCAATTTTGATGCAATTATTTCGAATATTTTCAGTTGCCAGAGGCAGTTCTCGCAGTACACTTGCCCTCGCTGCAACACTCGATACTGCTCCCTCGAGTGCTACAAAAGGCACAGCCTTCGATGCACTGAGTCCTTTATGAAGGAGAATGTGATGGGGGAGCTGAGGCAGATTCAGCCTGAGGATGAAGATAAGAGGAAGATGCTGGAGATTCTCAAGAGATTCCATTCTGAGGAGGAAGATGATGGTGGTGGCGATGGCGATGAGATGAATGTCGATGATGAAGAAGGTATGCTTCTTTTTTAGTTTTTAATAATTTATGCTTAATTTGGAGACTGTGTTTGGTAGGAAAAGAAATAGCTTGTTGGTAGATTGAATTTTGTTTAAAAGGAATATTATTGATTGTCACATAAACTCGAGTCGAGAGAAGCCTCTCTGAATCCCTCTGAAGCAAAAGTAACCCCTATTTTAACAAACCACTAGATTGGAAAAGGAGAATTAACAAGAAAGAATTTTTTATTTTTTGATTATTGATTAAAGTAGTTTGCTTATAGGAAAAAAAAAATGAAAGTTGCTAGTATATCAGCCATTAGTTTTATATGTCTTCAAATATTTATATTGTTTTTTCTATGTCTACATGTATACAAATAACAAGTGCTTAATTATTGAATGACCCTATTAATGCTGAATGGCGTACTATGATCTCAAGGATCAATTTGATTAACCATATTCCCTTAATAACACACATTATGCAAAGTACCATGTACTATATAGCCCTTGTCATTTCCTGATACTGAAATTTCTTTTTGCAACCTATGTTTCACATGCCCCTGATCCCAACTTTAATGTTGCATGCTGGTGTAAATCTTGATTGTGCCTACTGCAAGTTATTAGTATTATCGAGGCTATAAGCACCAGTACCTGTGCTTTTCTTTAAACTAGGTAAAATATTGATTCTAAAATCATGTGTATGCTTTTTTTCATTTTCCTTTTTTATGCTACAAGATTGCATAAAGTTGTAATTGTTTGCTCCTCAGCATTCTTTGAGTATGTTATGGAATGCAACATAACTTTATCTTGTTATATCCGAACTTAACAAATCAGTACCATACTTCATTTTAATTGAAGTACTACCTATTACATGAAAAGAGAATAGCGAATATTTTAGAAAATTGGATGCTTTTAATTTACTGTGAGCTACTATTTTTCAGTATTTTACCTGTAGTTTAATTTTCTCTTGGCATGTTTTGCAGATTCCAAGCTGTCAGAGGAACTCATTCAGAAAGTTTTATCTGGTATATTTTCTCATCTTTGTATTCAGTCGCATTCTCTTATTCTGAGATCCATAACTTGTCGCAGTATAATGATTCTTAACCATCCTTGATAATGTTTCCACCACAGATGTCAACAGTTTGCTTGGCAATGCAAGGCATTTATTTTTTCTTTTCTAAAAGTTAAAAGTGAATTTATTTTTCTTGAGTTATAACAACTACAGGCTTCAAGTGACGCAGCGCGAAAGTTGTAACCTCGGAATCCACCAAGGGTGTTCTCTGAATCCACAAAGAACGATCTTCGAATCCACGAAGAAATATTGAGGAAAAATAAAATTTTATTAATCAAAAGTTATGCATCTAGGGCTTACAAGACTCTTCTTAAATAGAAAAAGAAACAAGATTCCTACAAGGACTCTAATTCCTACAAGGACTCTCAATTTACCAAAAATGGCAAAGAATTTCTAAAACATTAAACTCCTAAAAAGACTCCTTATGATTAGGAAAGTCCTCCGGTCAAATCTGAGATCAAATCGGATTTGTTTCCTAAACAAAACACTCCTAAAATATTATTAAAAATAGTAAAAAACGGATAAAAATACAAATATCTCTCAAACCGTAAGGAATTTGGCAAAACTGAGAACGCAAACCAAACCCGAAGGGGTAGGTTTGGATGGCTCCGTCTCGTCGAGATAGTCGATTTTCATATATAATTCGTCCAATTCCGACGTACGGTTTGAAAGTTACGGCTGTTTCTTCGAAACAAGTTATTTTCTTCGACCAGGCCCGCATTTAGGCTTGCGACTGTCCCACTTTGACATAAACGTGTCTGCTAAGTGTTCTACATCAGTCCCCCCTGCTTGAAAAGAGCTCGACCTCGAGCTTACACTTGCATGAATAGCTGTTTCTTCTGGTGGGTAATACTCAAACAAATCTGTAATATTAAAACTAGGAGAAATACCCAAATCTGTAGGAAGGTCAACCACATAAGCGTTGTCGCTAATCTTCTTCAGTATTTTGCATGGACCATACTTCTTATTCTTCAGCTTGTTGTAGGTGCCCACGGGAAAACGTTCTTTTCGCCGAAACACCATCACCATGTCTCCTTCTTCAAACACCTTCCTCCTGTGTTGATCAGCATCGGCTTTATATTTAGCATTAGACTGCTCTATCTTTTCCTTCACCTCCTGCTGGATAGCACGTATCTTTTCAACCATATGATCCGTAGGAACACTCTGTCCGGGAAGCTTAGACCTCCTGCTGGATAGCACGTATCTTTTCAACCATATGATCCGTAGGAACACTCTGTCCGGGAAGCTTAGGCAATGGAGCAAGGTCGAGATAATGATTCAGAAGCCTTCCATACACAATCACAAAGGGTGCCTTGCTTGTAGTTCGACTCTCCATACAGTTATAAGAAAACTCAGCATGTGCCAAAGCAAGATCCCACTGTTTCGGTCGATCTCTAGAGATGGATCTAAGAAGATTACCGAGTGTGCGATTGATCACTTCAGTTTGGCCATCTGTTTGAGGGTGATAGGCAGTACTAAACTTAAGAGAAGTATTGAATCGCTGCCATAAAGTTCTCCAAAAGTGAGATAAGAACTTAGAATCTCGATCAGATGTAATGGACTTCGGCACTCCATGAAGACGAACTATCTCCCGAAAGAAAAGATTAGCAATGTTGCTCGCATTTGCAGTCTTCTTGCACGGAATAAAGTGCGCCATCTTCGAAAACCTGTTAACCACAACAAAAACAGAATCCATACCTCGTTGGGTTCGAGGCAGTCCCAACACAAAGTCTATAGAGATATCATGCCATGGTGCATCAGGAACAGGTAAAGATGTATACAATCCCGTATTCTGAGACTGTCCCTTAGCAACTTGACAAACTGGACAACGCCGCACATATTTTTCTGCTCCCTTCTTCAACTGAGGCCAGTAATATCGTTCTTCAATGGCTGCAATTGTTTTATCACGTCCCAAATGTCCTCCAAGTCCGTCAGCATGAAGGTCTCGAATTATCTGCTCTCTTAGTGAACTCTGGGGTATGCACAATCGATCGTCATGAAATAGATAATCATCCTGAATATGAAAGCCTTTGACTGGTTTATTTTGAAGACAGTCGTCTTAAATCTTCTTAAAATCTTCATCCTCTGCATACAGCTCCTTAAGGTACTCAAACGTAATCACTTCAGCCTTTAAAGTTACCAACAACCTAGCTCTCTTACTGAGTGCATCTGCAACCTTATTCTGCTGTCCAGATTTATGCTTCAAAACAAAGGTAAAACGCTGCAGATATGCAATCCAACGAGCATGCATACGGTTGATGGTAGTCTGACTATTAAGGGTCTTCAAGGCCTGATGATCAGTGTGAAGCAAAAACTCTCTCGAGATCAAATAGTGCTCCCAATGCTTCAAAGACTGAACTATGGCATATAACTCCAGTTCATATGTGGTCCACTTCTGTCGAGCTTCGCTGAGTTTCTCACTGTAAAAGGCAACTGGACGTCCTTCCTGAGATAAAACACCACCAATTCCTATGATGGACGCATCACAATCAACTTCAAAGACTTTTTAAAAATCTGGAAGTGCAAGCACATGTGCGGTAGACAACTTCTCATTGATCAGTGCAAAGCTACGATCTGCACACTGTTTTAAAAAACCTCCGCCTAGTCCGTTTAGGTGTACGCCTAGGTCTAGACGGTACCTAGGCCGCCTAACTAGCGCCTAGTGCCTGAGCGGTATTTAGGTACCCATCTAGATTTTACGAGCGTTTAGGGAAGCATTGTCTGCTTACGTGGATTGCATCCTGTAGGCCTTGATTGTGATTTTATGTGTCGTAGCATACACGTCCTCCAAACTCTATTAACCTCCAAATATGAACATCTCCACTACCTCCTCCGACCTTCAGCAAAACCTCATCGATCACCACTTAAATGAAGAAAGAAAAAAAACGCCCAGAAACCGCTTAGACGCCCGCCTAGGCGACTAAGCGCTGAGCGCCAAGTCCGACGCCTAGAAGCACCCAACGTTTAATGTAATATTGGATCTGCATCTTCCCCCCAATTGAACTTTCCTTTCTTCATGCATTCAGTTATAGGTGCTACAGTGCTGCTGAAATTTCTTACAAATCTCCTATAGAATGTTGCTAGGCCATGAAAACTACGAACTTCGCTGACAGTCTTCGGGGTAGGCCAATCTCTAATAGCACGAACTTTTTCTTCATCAACATGAATACCCTCTGCACTAACAACAAAGCCTAGAAACATGAGGCTACTGGTCATGAAGTTACACTTCTTCAGATTGATGTACAACTTATTCTCCTATAAAACTGTTAGTACCTCCCTTAACTGGTCCAGATGTGCAGCCCCACTCTGACTATAAATCAGGATATCATCAAAGTAAACTACGACGAACTTGCCAATAAAGGGTTTTAATACCTGATTCATTAATCGCATGAAAGTGCTAGGGGCATTAGAAAGACCAAAAGGCATGACTAACCACTCGTACATGCCTTCTGAAAGTGCTAGGGGCATTAGAAAGACCAAAAGGCATGACTAACCACTCGTACATGCCTTCTTTTGTCTTGAAAGCAGTCTTCCACTCATCCAAAAGGCATGACTAACCACTCGTACATGCCTTCTTTTGTCTTGAAAGCAGTCTTCCACTCATCTCCTTCTCTAATCCGAATTTGATGATAGTCGCTTTTGAGATCTATCTTGGAGAATACTTTTGAACCAGATAACATGTCTAGCATGTCTTCCAAGCGTGAAATAGGAAATCTATACTTCACTGTAACTTTTGAACCAGATAACATGTCTAGCATGTCTTCCAAGCGTGAAATAGGAAATCTATACTTCACTGTAATCTTGTTGATAGCCCTACTGTCCACACACATACGCCACTCTCCGTTCTTCTTTGGGACTAGTAGTGCTGGCACTGCACACGGACTCATGTTAGGTCGCATAAGGCCCTTCTGGATGAGATCATCCACCTGCTTCTGCAAAATCTCTCCTTCCTTCCGACTCATCCTATAGTGTGACAGATTTGGTAGTCGAGATCCAGGAATAAAGTCGATCTGATGTTGAACGTCCCTAAGCATGGGTAATTCAGAAGGAAGATCATCAAGCATAACTGCATCAAATTGCTGTAAGAGGGTCTGTACTTCAGGTGGAATTTCGGCAGTGGTAGACTCCTCTTTTCCCAAAACTACAAGGGCATAAATCTCATCAGACTGCTTCACATCTTTCATAAAGTCTTCATTGTCAACGACCAAGAAATTCTTCTTTTCAGCCACATTGGTTTTGACAGGCCCTTTTTCGGTTAGAGGCTTGAGCACAATTCGACGACCATCCTTCTTAAAAATGTAAACGTTATCTTTTCCCTATGCGTGGCATCAACATCAAACTGCCAATGTCTGCCTAACAACCTATGACATGCATCCATCTCTACTACATCACACAATGCCTCATCCACATAAGTTCGGCCAATGGAAAAGGATACCCGACACACTTCATCAACCTGTACGTCATTACCCTTGCGAATCCAGCAGATCTTGTAAGGAGCGGGATGCTTCTCCGTCTTCAGCCCTAACTTCTTCACCATGCGCCGAGAGACAATATTCTCGCTGCTCCCACTATCAATGATGACATCACAGATCTTCTGTTGCACCGTGCATCTCGTTCGAAAGATGTTATGCCTCTGTGGTGGTTCTTCTGCTTTTGGAGCCAACAATAGTCGCCGCACAACACATGAGAGTTGTTCCCCATCATCATCAGCGTCCAACCCATCATCATAGTCTTCATCATCGTCTCGGTCTGCATCCTCATCTTCATGATCCACCATGTTCACAGTACCTCTTTTAGGGCACTGATTGGATCGATGACCAGGCTGTCCATATCTGTAACACTTGATCGGATCAGGCTTGGCATAAGGGTTCGCTAGGGTAGGCTTCTTTGCTGTTGTTGTCGCTGGACCCTTGCCCTTCTCCGTTGTTGCATCCTGCTCAGAAACAGTTTGAGACTGTTTACTTCCACCACGTTTGAAACTCGTGTGCGACCCGTCGGAAGCTGCCCATGATCCTTTACTATTTCGTCCGAGTTGTCGCTCCACCTTCTCGGCTAGGCTAACTGTATCTGCTAAGGTATAGGTCTGTTATAGAGATACACGATCCTGAATTACCATCCTTAATCCCCCTGTATATCGAGACATCTGTTGGGCCTCGCTCTCGTTCAAGTTGTTGCGGGATGACAGCCGATAAAATTCCTGCGTGTACTCATCCACGGTTCTTCCACCTTGCTTATAATTTTGGTACTGTCCGAATAATACTTGTTCATAATCACTTGGCAGAAAACGGGCTCTCAGTAGCTTCTTCATCTTCTCCCACCTTTCGACCTTCGGTTTTCCTTGACGAGATCGATTCAGACAAACTGATTCCCACCAAGCTGAAGCTCCACCTTTGAGTCGGTAAGCCACCAATTTTACCTTGCGTTCTTCTGGGATCTCCATATACTCGAAGAACCTCTCTACTTCTGCAATCCAGTCGAGGAACTCTTCAATATGCAGTTGCCCGTTGAAAGATGGCAGATCATCTTCATCTTGAAACCTCCAACGTCATAATTATCCCTTCGTCGTCGGTCTCTGCGATAACCACCGCGGCGTGGGAGTGCATAATGATCTTCCTCGCTGTCGGAATCTTCATACGGAGTCGTCTCACGTCGTTGGCGATCATCAACGTGATTTCGATCTCCTGTCATATCCAGACGTTCTACTGCCGCAGCTAGTCGCTCCATGACAGTCTTCATCTGATTGACATCGGTCTTTAGCACGTCAACTCAGTTCGAGAAATATGGGCTTCATCACCTGCCATCGGATCGGAGGAACAAGTCTCTGATACCAATTAACGTAGCGCGGAAGTTGTAACCTCGGAATCCATGTTCTCTGAATCCACAAAGAAGTCTCTGATACCAATTGACGTAGCGCGGAAGTTGTAACCTCGGAATCCACCAAGGGTGTTCTCTGAATCCACAAAGAGCGATCTTCGAATCCACGAAGAGCTTCGAATCCACGAAGAAATATTGAGGAAAAACAAAATTTTATTAATCAAAAGTTATGCCTCTAGGGCTTACAAGACTCTTCTTAAATAGAAAAAGAAACAAGACTCCTATAAGGACTCTAATTCCTACAAGGACTCTCAACTTACCAAAAATAGCAAAGAATTCCTAAAACATTAAAACTCTTAAAAAGACTCCTTATGATTAGGAAAGTCCTCCGGTCAAATCTGAGATCAAATCGGATTTGTTTTCTAAACAAAACAGACTTCTAAAATATTACTAAAAATAGTAAAAAACGGATAAAAATGTAAATATCTCTCAAACCGTAAGGAATTTGGCGAAACTGAGAACGCAAACCGAACCCGAATGGGTAGGTTTGGGTGGCTCCGTCTCGTCGAGATAGTCGATTTTCATATATAATTCGTCCAATTCCGACGTACGGTTTGAAAGTTACGGCCGTTTCTTCGAAACATGTTATTTTCTTCGACCAGGCCCGCATTTAGGCTTGCGACTATCCCACTTTGACATAAACGTGTCTGCTAAGTGTTCTACATCATCAAGGCAGAGAAGTGTTCTCTTTTAATTATAGCCTGTTTCTATGGATTTTATACAATTGGGCTGATGACTCCCTTAGTCTTTTTGTGTAAGGTAGACTAAACCTTGAAGCGAATCTTGTGAAGTCATGTTCATAAATCTGGGGATGAAACTTGGATGGGACAGTAATAGGTTTGAAATATTTTCTTACCCGACCCGGTTAAAAAGGCACATTTCCATATCCGATCTTGCCCTGAGTTGGGTTTTGGAAATTTAATACCCAAAACCAGCCCGCCTAGAAATGTTGGGATTTGCCTCACAATTTGATCAGGCAGTGGAGCAGGTTGATAATTAAGATTGCTAGATGCACCCTGTGAGTTCATGTGTATTCCCAAAAGGATTGGGTTTTTGGGTGGTCATAGTGTTGGGGTTTGGTTCTGTGTGTTTGTTGGCATTTTTTTTTTTTTTGGCGGGGGGGGGGGGGGTGTTGGGCGGCTGGCAGGAGAAGGGGAGGCTGAGATAAATGGATGAGACATGTAGAGAATGAGCCACATCATAGGCCAAATCTTTCTCAACCAAATAACGATTGTGAGAAAAACTCGACCTTTATCCGTAAAACCAACAAACTATTCTTAGCTGAGGTTTTACTCGAATTCTGGTTGTTTCAACAAGTTCAGGTAAGTCATCATCCTCACCTGGGATGAGTTTACTCCAGCTTCAAGTTTTTGGACCCCTATCTGGGCCTTATCCTAATTAAACTGCCCAGGGCCGTTTGGGTAGAAGGTTTGTCCAGGTTTGGCCAGGTAAAATAGAGAGACATACTGGAAATGACAGACGAATACTGGATTGACAATATCATCACTCTACCAAGATTCGTTACTACTCACCTCTTCTGCCCTCCCTCCTTCCTTGTCACTATTCATGGCTATAAACTGAAATGTCATTGTTCAAAACGTGAGTATTTACCTTGGCTTGGTTAAGTGATGATTCTAATCAGGTAGGGACACTATCATCTATGTTGGTTCTTTGACCAATGATATAAAAATCATTAGGTTGATCTTATGACTTGAATTGTAGTTCATGCAATGTAATGGACATTATGACGGCTACAGTTAGCATCTTCTAATCCTGTAAACTTAAAATTTTTGGCACGTGCAATACATAAGTGTTGCATGCAGACGTCATCTAAATTTTCCAATGTAAGGTTATGTGAGGAGAATAACACAATAGAAATTGTCTATAAGGAGGTGAATATGCAAGTATTTCGCTGGATATGTAACATTGTAGATACATTCTGAAAGTATGTAAGTGTACACTCTGAAAGGACATGCAATCCAGACTTCTCGATATTTATCTATTTCAATTTTATATAGATACATAATTGGCTAGATAGATGGTGGCAAGAAATTTTAAACAAGTCACCCTCTGTAATTATTGATGGTTTGCACATGGAATCAATGACTTATTTTTCTTCCTTCCTACTTGTTTATGATTCCCCCAGAAAAGTATGATGGATATAATTTCTACCTGACTCTCAGCTGGAATGAGTTTGTTAGTCTAGTGCAATTTAATTATGTGTGGTTTTTGAGAACTTGAGAAGTTCCCATACAGGATGCATCTACATTCATGGGTCTGAAGGTTTTGAGGAATAGGCAACCTCGTAGGCGTAGCCAATGCGAGCAAGTCTTTGACACTTTGTTGCCTTTCCAGAAATCATGGAAAATCAGAGCAAGTTTTGACTGCTTTCGTTGTTCCAGAAAATGGTGGTATCGTATTTGATTTGGCAATAGTGCTGTGTGGAAACACTATCTAGGTTTATTTTGTCATAGGAGAATTATATCTTGAGCTTCTAGAAAAAGATTAAATAGTTTCTTTTTCATTGTGTCTTTCTCCCTTTTAGTGAGCTTTTCATAATGTTGAAGTATGTGACATAGGAGAACTATCAACAAATTTTTGCATTGGAAACTAAGTAACGTGTTCTACAAACATGAAGCGATGGTTCTTTATTCGTATTCCATTTAGGTGAAAAAAGTTGCTGCATGTTTTGTTCTTATTCTATTTTGGGCTTGTCGTTAATGAAATTAATTTTTTAAATTTTATGAAAATGTATTACAGACTATATATTTCAGTGTGATTTAGCCTTCGGAGTGATTTGTGAATATAGCCTCTCAAATTACCAGGAGCAGCCTCTCAAATTACCAGGAGCTAATATGGGAAAAACGAATGAAAGCTGAAATGCCTTCATGGGTCCTGGAATTTGTGTACTCTCCTGATTGCTACTTCCTCAATTACTCAGTGAAGTCCAAAAATTCCATACGAAACTCTTGTGTAATGACTGAAATCATACCTCTGCATCATCCAAAGAGTTAAACTTTAACTCTTGACTTTGTGGCCGATGCTTGAACTGGTGACTAGATCGCAAGTCTTAGTGCATCAATTGCGGTCAGTTAACTAATCTAAGACATTTTGCTAAATAAGGATTATAGCATTCCCTCTAAATTTGAGAAACAATTTGGTTCTATCTCTGAGACTCTGACCTTCCTCAATAGAAACATATGCTTTTATTGCCTTCTTCAACTGGTGAAATTTGCAGACATTTTCCCTAAACTAGCATACTGTATTAAGAGAAAAGTGATCTAAATCATGAACTCTCCCACTTTAAACTCATGAAACATTGTAAATGTTGAATTGTCATTTTCTTTTATATTTTCTTCTTACACATTCCCTCTTTTTGTTATATTATATGGGAATGCAAACAGTGTAAGAAACAGCGATAAGGATTTTTCTATTAACAAAAATTGCAAGACATCAAACATTAGTTTTACCTAAACTAATTTGCTGCTTTATTAAGTGAAAGCAATCTAGATCCATTAGCATTCTCTTCTACTTTGCAGGCGATGAAATCAAACTTGAAGATCTATCTCCAGAGGAAGTCAAACAATTTCATCGAGCAGTAGCCTCTGGAGAACTGAGCAAAATGATTCAACCGTGGACTCCATGGTGGAAACAACCTTCAGCAAAAACCATCTCTCTCAGCCCTCACGGAACTCAACTCATAAATCCCCTTCAAGAAGAAGAACAAGATTCCAACTTCGACAAGATTCCATCTGGCCCAGAAACCCCAATCCCACCACTCACCCAACTGAGCTCCACAAACCCGTCTCCTCTTCTAACAGTTCACTTAGTTGATATTCTCTACAGTTACTGCTTCACTCTAAGACTCTACAACGGTGATTGGCGTTCCGATCCTTTAGCTGCAGCCATGGAGATATTGAATATTTCAAGTGTTTTAGGCGATGATGCTCGTCCAGAGACTGTCTCTGAGGCGTTGAGTTCTTGCTTGGAGAAGACGTGCTCGCCTGCGTATAAAAATACAGGGGGATTTAGGTTCGGGGTTGGACTCATCGATGATATTATTTGTATTCTCTCTCTTGGACGAAATGCTCTCGTATGTAGTCTTTGTGATCTTCAGAGGCTCGTTAGAGATGGAGAAGAAGCGATGAAGGGTGAGAGAGCGAGAAAGGGTAAAAGTAGTAGGAAGCTTAAAGGTGTGGAGAGAAAGGTGTATTTTCTGATGTGTTGGGTTTTTGAACAGCAAGAGGAGGTTTGGGCTTCATTGGCGAGTATTTTGGAAGTTGAGAAAGCTTCAGTTTTGGCGGTGGCTGAGGGAAGCAAGAAGCCTGTAAAGGAGGGAGAGAATCGAAATAAGGTTCTTATTCAAGAGGTTTGAAGAAATTTCTCTTTATTGTTGTAGATCGGAAATCTATAGTTAGCTGTAAACTGTAAGTCTTATTAAGAGTTCAGGGATTTATCTACAATCAAAGTTTTTGTTTTTTGTTTTATGAAGCTTTGTTAGGGCAAGAAGGCTTTCAGGGGACATGCATTTCTGTAGCCACATCCTGTTAGGCTTGGGTGTTATTTTGAGAAGGGAAATACCAAAAGGACCCCAAATATGAGACAGGGGGAGGGGACAGGTGAGGTCTCCCTTCCCCACTGCATGATACACTGTTCATGAACAGTGTATCATGCAGTGGGGAGGGGTCACCTCACCTGTCCCCTCCCCATGTCCCATATTTGGGGTCCCCCTAGCACTACTCTTAAAAAAAATCGTAACGGCATTGACCGCAATTTTCACAAGTGCAGGTAAAATATGGGGATTTTTTGTTAATGAAAATTGTGGCTCACACTTGAAAGGGTGGTCTTTTAAAAATGTTGAGAGTTCAAGAGGGCTTTCTGAGAAGCCTATAGAATTAAGCGAGTTCAAGAGGGCTTTCAGAGAAACCCAGAATTAAGTGGTTTTTGCGACATTTGAGAGAGGTTGGCTGAGATTAGATGGTTTTGTGGTATGGTTAAATTACAGTACACCCCCAAGATGTTTCAGCATTTTGCAGTAAACTACCAATAACTTTCAAAATCGCTCTAAACCCTCAGTAAATTTTGTAATTGTAGAAAAAAATATCTCTGCCCCAAAAAAACAAAAAAACAAAAAAATAACGTGAAAAGGCATTTTGAAGAAAGTTATTGAGGGTTCCCAAAAAAACAAAAAAATAACGTGAAAAGGCATTTTGAAGAAAGTTATTGAGGGTTTGCTTGGGGGTTTAGTATAATTTACCGTTGTGGTTGTGGAAATTTACTCTTTTAAGAACCTGATCTTGTTTATCTCAGAAAGTAACAACCTTTTGAGAGTCTCTTCAATTAAATAGGCTTAATTCGTCTTCATGAAAACAAATGGAGATCAATTTCAAGGTATGCCCAGAATTCCAAAATATTTCAATATGAATTTGAAATGTTGAAAATATATCATCACTAGTGTTATACCCCGTGTGTTGTTTCAGGATTTTTTTTTTTCAAAATGTATTATTTACCAAAATAATAAAATAAAATATAAACTATAAATATTTAAGAAAATTAACAACAATTCTTTTTGCTATGATTTTATCATGCTAAAAACTTTTATTATAACCATGAATGTTTGAATTATGCTTTAAATTTGTTAAACTTATTATGCTTTAAATTTGTTAAACTTACTATATACATAATGAGAGCAAAAGAGTTAGTATATATCTATTTATAAAATAGGACTACATTCCTTTTTTTTTTTTTTTGGTTGATATATTCCTCTTATTAAAAATGCTTTCTCGTAGTCATTAGAACTTGAGTTGGTTTTAACTTTCTAAAACATATTGTTGAATTATTATTTAACTTCATTCAACATATTGCATACATAAATGCTAAAATATAATTCAATAAACATATTCATGTTAATTTTCATCCTCTAAAATATAGTTGTACAAAAAATCACATACTTTATAATATTACTTGGTTTATATTGAATGGAAGTAGAATTTGAATTAAAAGGCAAAGGGACATATATAGTATCAGTGAAATAAAAATAGAAATTAATTATACTTTTTTTCCCATGCTCATGAAGTTCCAGTAGAGTTTTTTTTTTCCTATTTTTGAATTGAAGATTAATGGTTGTATAAAATATTGTAGGATGAAGATGATGATGGTGAATTTCAAAGTAAATTAGTAGAGAAAGAGATGTTATGGGTTGAGAATTTGAATGAGTTTGTATGAAAATTGATATGTTAATGGTGGGTTGAAAAGTATAATTTAATTCATGGGTTAAATTATTTGAAGGTTATACATAATGAAAAGTTTCTTTAGTGGGTCTTTTATATGCTAAAAAGATTAACTTTTCATATTCTCAATATTATCATACTGTTTATTTGAATTGTAAAAAATAAATTTTAATATCTAAAATTCTAACAAGTTGCTAATTAAGTGGCATCTACAGGGCCTTGTTTTAGTGTGTGTGTGTGTATAGATGAACTTATATACTTACTAAATACCCTTTTTGTAAGAACTTTGAAGTTTTCATTGGCAAAATTAACTGATTTGTGTAGAAATATTTCAACTTGTCGCCTTTTTTATGAAGATTCAAGCAATGTAATACTAGTTGTACGTGTGAAATTGGAGAAAATGGGGGTACATATGCAAAAGCTGTTGGACCCTAGAGGGGGGGTGATTAGGGTCAAGAGGCTCTAATATGCAATAAAAATTAAACACAAGCAAACCACAAAATAGTAAAGCAGTTAAAGTAAGAGAGATAGGGTTAGGAGTTCGTTATCCTTGACGCGCGATGTGTTAACGAGGTTCGGCCCTTTGGCCTACGTCCCCGCTCCCCACTCTCGAGGAGAAATCCACTACACACCCGGTTTGGAAGCCGGAACTTCGTTTACACAGCGATTCCACACGATCTCTCTCACTACACAGTTTGATCTCAACAGATCACACTCCCTCACAGTTGATCTACACAAGATCTCACTCACACAGCAGAAGAAAAAAGATGCAAGACTCTCTCTTTACACAGCCCCTATGGTAAAGAGAAAGATTACTGAAGCTGGGAAGTGAATCACACACAAACAGAAGGAAAACACAGAAACCAGAACTTTGAAAGTTTTTCTCAGAAAGCAGCGTCTCTGGTTTTTGCAAAGGTTGGGGCCACTGGAAGAAGAAGAGGTATAGGGTTTTTTTATAAAAGATTAACCATATTAAAACAAAACTCAATCTTCCCATTTAGAAAGATAATCTCCTTTTTCAGATTGTTAGCTCAGACTGTGCCAAGCACTATTAAGTGAAAGCACAACAAACGAGGCAAAACGATCGTTTAAAAAAGCCGCGGCTGACTGAAGAGAAATTCGGTCGCCCGAAGCAAACATTCGGTCGACCGAAAAACTACGTCGGGCGACCGACTGAAAATTTCGGTCGACCGCCAGCCGCTTTGAAAAATTAGAAAACGAACAAAGACTTTATTGGTCGACCGGTGCGGTCGACCGACCAAAAATTTGAGCTTTCGGTCGACCGCGCCGGTCGACCGACAAACTCTCTGGAGTCCAGTGACGAATGCTCATAGGTGCGGTCGACCGGTCCGGTCGACCGCATTCTGATATATTTGCACAACTGGTTTTTTGACTTAAACTAAAATATTTGTAAAATATTTATTTGACCTCTGAAAATTCTGAAACTTTGTAAAATATTTTTAATACTAAAAACAAACTGCTTGGAAAAAGAATTTTGCAGATAGGTCCTCATACTTGTGAAAAATAGTATTTTGTGAAAAACGCTTAAAAACACAAGTATGAAAACGTGTGTGTGATTCCCAATAGCTTTAAGTAAAATCAGTAACTCTTTGCCTACATTCTAGCATTAGAGAGAAAAACAAAAGAAAGCTAATATCCTCATATAGAGAGCAATACTTGAGCTTTGATATAGCTTGAATCGGATGAAGCTTTTATTCGAATTTGTCGTTCTTGAAATAACATTGCTTCATCTCTTGGCCTCCTCCTCCTTTGGATATCATCGTTGTAGCATATATTCCATCCATCCTCCATTCATGGCACTAACGAGCTTGATAAATGAATTTACTACATTTACACTCAATAAGCCATTAGTACTGATAATGGTGGTTGTAAAACATCATCAAAACATAAGGCCTAACAATCTCCCCCTTTTTTATGATGACAACCAACCATTATATAAGAGTAAAAAGATAAAATAACTTATAGATAGGTGCTCCCCCTATCTATGAGCTCCCCCTAAATATATGCAACAAATGAGGAGATTTCTCTCCCCCTTTGTCACCATAAAAAATGGGGTAAAGAGAAATGCAAAATGTAACTAAACAAGCAACAAGCAAGCAATGTAGAACGTTCACATAGTGCATAAGCCCAAACCATTTCTTATGCGACAAAAATCATCCTCTCCAAGAGGCTTAGTAAATATATCCGCTAGTTGAGATTTTGTGTCAACAAATACTAGGGATACATCTTGTCTCTCTACATGATCGCGTAAGAAATGATGGCGCACATCAATATGCTTAGTTCTAGAATGCAAAACCGAATTTTTGGAAATATTTATAGCACTTGTGTTATCACAAAAGATTTTAATATTTTGAAAATTCAAATCATAGTCAACTAAACTTTGTTTCATCCATAAAACTTGAGCACAACATAGACCGACGGCAATGTATTCCGTTTCCGTAGTGGACAATGCAACACAATTTTGTTTCTTGGAAGCCCAAGAAACAAGAAAATTTCCTAAGAATTGGCATGTTCCACTAGTACTCTTGCGATCTACCTTACATCCGGCAAAGTCGGCATCACAAAAGCCATATAAATCAAAAGAGGTGCTTCTTGGATAAAATAAACCAAGGTTAAAAGTTCCATTAACATATTTAATGATCCTTTTAACCGCAATTAAATGAGATGCTTTTGGAGAAGCTTGAAAATGTGCACATGCACATACACTAAACATGATGTCGGGTCTACTAGCGGTGAGATAAAGAAGACTACCTATCATACCTCGGTATAGTTTTTGGTCCACATCTTCACCACTCTCATCCGCATCAAGCTTAACACTAGTACTCATGGGAGTAGGCGCATGCTTAGAATTCTCCAACTTGAATTTCTTCACCAATTCCTTCGCATACTTGCTTTGTGAAATGAAGATCTCATCCTTAGTTTGCTTGACTTGGAGCCCGAGAAAGAATATAAGCTTTCCCATCATACTCATCTCAAAGTGATCCTGCATAACTTTAGAGAATTCCTTGCACAAGGATTCATTTGTAGCACCGAAAATAATATCATCAACATATATTTGAACTAAAATGAAATCATTTTTCCTTTTTCTCACAAAAAGAGTGTTATCAATTGTTCCTTTTGAAAAACCATTTTCAATAAGAAAACTAGAGAGGCGAGCATACCAAGCCCTAGGAGCTTGTTTCAACCCATATAAAGCTTTTTGTACCCGGTAAACATGATTAGGAAAAGCATGATCTATAAAACCGGGGGGTTGCTCAACATACACTTCCTC